AATTTTGTCTCGATCGAGGGAGGGAAACTGGTGTCAGAAACTACAATTTTCTCATGGAAAAAAACACGTTTTCCAAAATTCTGTGGCATCCCTAGCTGTAACAGAGATCTGGTGTAGCAACACACAATAAGGCAGGGGTGTCAAACATGCGGCCCGAGGGCCGGATCAGGCCCCCAGAGGGCTTCCATCAGGCCCGCAGTGGAACTGGCCATCTCTTGCTTACAGTTCTGCTGCTGCTGCATCATAACTTGCTTCACCAGACTCTCTTAATCACTCCGCCATTTCATGTTTTAACCTGGGTCCTAGACTCAGAACTCTGAGCATGAGATTTCTGTGGCGAATGTCAGTAAATCAAAAGTAGGCTTGCAGCTTACAGAGCTAATGTTTTAAGCATGTTTTTATTTTAAGTTTAAAAAACCCTTTGTGTTTGTGTCCTTTATAAAGTTTATATCTCCGCTACCTGGCATTACATTTTACGACACACATGGCCCGGCCCGACAAGGTCTCATTTATGTCAGATCCAGCCCTCATAACAAATGAGTTTGACACCCCTGCAATAAGGCAATGGGAAATGGCCACAGAAACCATCTTAGAACATATTTGGGGTTATCCGTGGATTTTTGCAAGTTAATATATCTGAAAGCAGCACTTATTTGCAGTTTTCTTCCCTCTCCAAGTGAAAGCAATTTGCCCATTGCTGCCATCCTTCCTGAAATCCAAAATGGCGCACCTGACCAGGAGTTGGTGAAGCAAAGCGCGAGTCTCCACTCACAATGGAACGCTTATGGATTCCAGAGCAGGGGCCCAGGGTGTTATTTCCACCTTCCGGCTTTTATTCTCCTTGAGGGAGAAATACCCAGCTTTCTGGAAACCAGGAGGGCTGGCTCTTCTGTTTCCTATACCAGCTGCCTTTTCGGCTCTGTTGGGTCCCCCTGTTATCAAGAGCGGAGAGCTGGAAATGTTCACCATGAACACGAACCCTCTTCTGCTGAAATGCTCGCAGCTCAGTCGACAATCCTCTTTGTTCGTCGAAAGACTCGATAACATTTTGTGAATAACCCGTCCGGCATTTACAGATAACCCTATCCTCCTAAACTTATCCTGGCCGAGATCCAGTTCCTGGGAACCAGATGAAGGTTAGAGAGAGTTTAAGTTTTCCCATGATCCTTCCCCTGTTTTTATTCTGGCCCAGTTGGCAGGTAGAACAGAAACTGATCCAGAACAGCTGGGCGGTTTGGGGTCTTCTCTCTGCAGGGTTGCAGAGAAAGCTCAAAAGAGATGGTTGCAAAGGGTTAAGAAAGATGCTGAAGTCCCGCAGGGAATATGCTCATCTATGCTAAATAAACAGCACACCCTCCTCCCCCCGAAACAGGAACTCTTACTGTAGTGTGGTTCTCTTGGAATTCTCTTGTTTGAGCAGATGGGAATGATTCCCACGAAGAAGGCAGGCAGCTGGAAGGCCCGGGACTCTGTGCAGCCACCACAGTTTTATTCTCCCCAGCTTTGGCACGACCTCTAATCAGGAACCCCCTTCTGTATTCCGCACCTCAAGTTGCACTCTGCGACCCAAGGTGAAATGTGGACAAAGGGCACTTGAACCCCCTTCTCCCTGGGGTAAACTGCAAAAGTGGCTTTAGTAGAGCCCTTTATGCACCTCTGCAGCTCAGGGCAACCTAGGCAAAGGGCTCCTTGACCCATTCTCCTCCCCAGCAGAGGAATTTTTGTCAGAGTTCGCCACTGTCCTGCCAAGTGCAGGCAGAGGAGGGTGAGTGAGACCGAGGGGCGCTCTGCCAAAGCCCCTGTGTTGCTTGAACTGGGGAGAATGGGTTAATGTGCCCTTTGCCAATATCTCCACTTGTCCTAGAATTTCCAACAGACCAGAAAATAAAAGAGCGTGGCTGGGGGATTTTTGTTTCTTTGTTTGGCTGTGTAATGTAATAGTTTGATTGCTGGATTAAGACCAGGGTTCAAATTCCCATTTGGAGATGAAGCTTATTGGGTGACCTGGACCAGATGTTCTCTTTAGTCTAACCTACTTCACAGGGTTGTTGTGAAGGCAGAAAGGAGGGAGAAAGATGTACTGAGCTACTCGCAGGACGGGTGGCACGGTGGTTACAGGGTCGGACTAGTATCTGGGAGACCCAGATTCGAATTCCCGGTCTGCCATGGAGACTCGCTGGGTGACCTCGAGCCACTCGCACACTTTCAGCCTAACCTACCTCACAGGGCTGTTTTGAGGAGAAAACGGAGGAGAGGAGAGAGGGGGAGAAAGGCAGGATATAAATAAAGTCAATGAAATAAAAATCAATCAAATAGGCCGAGAGCCGTGTCGGTGGAAGTAGTGACGATCTTTGGACGTTTGGAAAGAATTGGAGAGAATTCAGCTAACGCCCTCCACCCAATGAGGCACTGTGTCTTGGAATAACCTGAACAACGGGGGAAGGCCATGACTTTTGACGGATGGTAGCTACCTGGCTGGCTCAGGCTAGCCTGATCTCAACAGATCTCGGAAGCTAAGCAGGGCTGGCCCCAGTTAGTACTTGGATGGGAGGCCACCAAGGAAGCCCAGGGTCACTTCACAGAGGCAGGCAATGGCAAGCCACCTCCAAACGTCTCTTGCCTTGAAGACCATACGGGGTCACCATAAGTCGGCTGTGACTTGACGGCATTTCCCACCACCACCAGATGCCCCTAACTGGAGCCTGGAGTGAGATCCTTGTCTAGAAGAAGAAGAGAAGAAGAGATTGGCTTGATACCCCGCCCTTCAATATCCAAAGGAGCCTCATGACCAGTGTCCTGATGCCTATCAAAAGGACAGTCCAAAGAATCCATATTCAACAGATCACAATGGACACGCTAATGGCTCCTGGATGTAGCCAAAAGAGGAGTGATTCTTGGATGCGATCAGGGGTCATTTCCTGCGGGAGCGCACAGGAGCAGAACTCCGGCAGTAAGGCGCCCAGGGGGCAGGCACATGCAACAAGCCCCGCCCCCTGCTCCCAGCAGCCCTCAGTCGGGCCACGAGGAGCAAGAAGCAGCCAGGTACCGGTGATGTCAGGGTGTGTGGCATATACAAATAAGTTATGCTAATGAGCTATGCTAATGAGCTCCTGCACCTCTTTTTCTACGAAATGACCCCTGGCTGCGATGAGGCTGGCGGAGGGAGTACAGCACCTCCAGTTGCAAGTGGTGATTTGCCCGTGTGCACATGTGCAAAGTACATTTTAAAAAATTAGGCCACGCCGCCACTTGGGCGGCACAGCTGTTTGGATGGTGCCTGGAGCCTCATCGCGTGATGCAAGCGGTTGGGCACGGGATGTGTGATCATCTGAACCCACTAAAAATATCCCCGATCAAATCTACAGCAGGAACAAATCACGGTAAGCTTGCCGTGTGACCACACCCTCAGACCGGCTCACAATCTCCTTTCCTTTCCCCTCCCCACAACAGGCACACTGTGAGGTAGGTGGGGTTGAGGGAGCTCTCTTGAGAATTGCTCTTTCCAGAACAGCTCTGAAAGAACTTGTGACTGACCCAAGGTCACTCCAGCAGCTGCATGTGGAGGAGCGGGGAATCAAACCGGGTTCTCCCAGGTTAGAGTTCGCACACTTAACCATTACACCATAAGAGACAGAGCATCACTTGCCCCAGAGCCCCTATCTATACCTCATGGCTAATAACTACTGATGGACTTCTGCTCCAGATGTTTATCTAATTCCCTCTTGAAGCCGTCCATGCTTGTAGCCACTACCACTTCCTGTGGCAGTGAATTCCATGTGTTAATCACTCTTTGGGTGAAGAAGGATTTCCTTTTATCCGTTCTAACCCGACCGCTCAGCAATTTCATGGAGTGCCCACGAGTTCTTGTATTGTGAGAAAGGGAGAAAAGTACCTCTTTCTCTACCTGCTCTTTCCCATGCATAATCTTATAAACCTCAATCATGTCACCCCTCAGTCGTCGTTTCTCCAAGCTAAAGAGCCCTAAGCGCCTTAACCTTTCCTCATAGGGAAAGTGTTCCAACCCTTTTATCATTCGAGTTGCCCAAACTGGCTTTCCAACTGCCTAGTCGGAAGGTAGTAGAAAAGAGCAAGAGTCCAGGAGCACCTTAAAAACTAACAAAACATGTGGCAGGATAGGAACTTTCGTGAGTCACTGCGCACTTCTTCAGATACAGCTAGAAGGTAAAAAGCAAAAGCGTTGGAAGGTAAAAAGCAAAGGGGGTGACGCCTTGAGTTTGGCAAGTGAGCTATTTCTGTGGGCATGCTGTTTGCTTTCGGGGGGCTGGATAGTGATTGAAAACTGCCTCTCGGGGGGGCCTCCCCTTGTTTCGATGGTTGCCAATCTTCAGGTGAGGCCTGGAGTTCTCCCAGAATCACAACGGGTCTCCCGACATCTGTTCCCCTAGAAAAAAAATGCCAGTTTCAGCGGGTGCGCTCCTGGCACGGCATCCCCCCCCAGACAAACCCTCCTCCAGATCTCCAGGAATCCCCCAAACCAGAGCTGGCAACCCTGCTTTGTTTCCCTTGCAGATTTGTAAACAGACGTCCCAAACCCTTATAATCCTCCGATTCTCGCTCTAGGCTGCTCCCCAGGCACTTGAAGAGGTGGGGGACCGTAAAAGAATTTCACGGAGGGGGCCTTGCCTTATCTCAGCGAAACCGCCTGTCACTTCTGGACAAATGTCTGCTGCTCCTGTCTTCTGAGACTCCAGCAAATCTGTGCAGAGAAGAGGCCTGAAGATCAAAAACCCTCCAGAGAAGGCGAAAAGGGGGAGAGAGAGAGGCAGAGAGAGAAACAGAACCCAGGCCAGCATCTTGGCAGGATGTCAAAGGCGAGGAAGGCGCTGCAGCTGGATTCTGTAAATGCCCAAGAAAATTAATACCATACCCAGCAGGGAGGTGGGTGGGGTGGAGAGCGGTTTTTGGAACGGGGGAGTCGTACAGGACCGGCACAGACTCCCTGGATCGACTGGGACATCAAACGAGGCTTGGGAGAGAAGGGCAAAGGCGACGTTCAAGAGGGAGGTCTGCGATGTAGTAGAAAGAAAGCGGCAGAGGGGAAAGAAAGGGGAGGAAGGGGATAGCCAAGCGCGATGGCGAGGAGTTAAACTTGGAGGTGGGGGGGCGCCCGGAGTGCTGCGTTCTCTGGTGTTTTTTGAGTTGTAAACTGATGAGATCATAAGTGTTTTTAAGCAAGCAAGCAAGCAAAGAGAGGGAGGGGAAAAACAGCCTTGAGAAATTTGGCTTTTCGGGGGAAAGCCGGAGACGAGAACCATGGAGCCCGCGAGCAGATTGCTCTGGTCTCTGCTGTTACTTTTGCAAGGTAAGTCTGCGAAGGGGGGATTGGCTTCTCCCCCACCTTCCTTTCCTGAGCAGAATGTGGATTTTGGAGGGGCACTTGTTTGGGCGAGTGTCATCCAGAAAGCAGTCGTTCACCCAGGGTCTAGATTTATTTACCCCAGTATACTTTCTCGGGCAAGGATTAGCGGAAACATGAAGCGTGTTATGAAAGTTTGGGACTGACCGGGATTTAGTTTACAGGACTTTGCGCAAGCAGCCAGCAGTAATCCAGTTCTGTGTGGTGGGTGATGGTCAAAAAGGCATCTAGGCTTTTTGAGGGAGGGAAGCAGACGGAAACCCAACAGGCCGAGCTTCCGAGAGCCAGTTTGGTGTAGTGGTTAAGAGTGTCGGACACAGTCCCCACTCCTCCACGTCACGTGCAGCCAGCTGGGTGACCTTGGGTCAGTCACAAGTTCTCTCAGAGCTGTTCTCTCCAGAGCAGTGCTCTCAGAGGTCTCTCAGCCCCACCTGCCTCACGGGGTGTCTGTTGTGGGGAGAGGAAGGGAAAGGAGATTGTAAGCCTCCGAGTGAAGGGTGGGGTATAAATCCAATTCGTCTTCTCCCCCCCCCATTGCATTCCCATGGATCTTAAAGTTGTCCCCATTGAATGAAGCAATGGCTTACAGGAACCCCTGCTGACGTTGCATGTTGTGTCTTACTACCAAAATTGTTCCTTGTAACCACGGCCTTTCTGGTCCCAGCGAAAAGAGCTGGGAGAGATTTCACCTGTTAGATTTCTGGTTGTCAGCTGGGTAACGGTGCTGGAACAGAGCCCCTTAACAGTCTCAGAGCCACTTAACAGTCCCTGGAATCTTGCTTTGATGGCCGCAGTTGCATCTGGAGACATTAGACGGTCATAGGTAGAAGAGTGGCTAGAGAGACCTGTGTTCAAATGCTGCTTTCTCAGGCTTAGGCTCAGTTCGTGGCTTTTGGAAAGTCGCTCTTTCTGTCAAATTGACCTATCCACACAAAAATGTGAAACCAAAGGAGGCAGGTGCAGAGGAGGTCTCGAAAGGGTACATTGAAGGGAAAATGTAGTATTGGTGGAAAAGGGGCAAAGTGGGAAGGGATGAACAGGGGCTTTGAAAAATAGGGCTGCCGGCTGTCAGGGGCCAGCAGGCCAAGCTGGTCAGATGGGTCAACTCTGAGTTTTTAGTTGATTGGTAACTGCTCATTGGTGGGATTGCAAAGACGAGCGTGCTTGTTTCATGTGGTCATTTTGGTATAATACAAGAAGAGAAAGCTAATGATGGCAGCTTTTGTTTATTACCCTGTTAATTATCTTAACAACGCTTGAGCACTCGGCCTCAGACAGGCAGATCAGGGATGGCAGAGGAGTCAAAACTCAGCTTTGAGTCTGGTCATGCAAAGATTTTTACTACCAAAATGCATAGGGAGACAAGGTTTGCCTGTGCAGACTTGTGCAAGCTTTTGAACTACGCAGAGCTCCTCATAATGCTGATGAAGAATTCTGCAGAATCCAAGATCCGGCCTATGACTATAACTTCCTGTATACTGATCGAAGAAAAAGATTTCACTGTACTCGGTTTGCATGACTCCCTCTGCGGACTCAATTGACAAGGGCCATTTATACCGAGTTGCAAAATTATTTGTTCCTTTTCCTGTTTGTGCTGCAGAACTTTTTTTTAACAGAGATTTTGCAAATAGATCCAAAGCAAAGAGACTTTACCTTGTCAGAGAGGCCAGTGGAAAGTTACCGAGAAGCGTGAAAATGCTCAGTGGGGTTATTTTTCTCCTGGTAATGCTTAATGACTGATGAGGCAAATTTAAAACGACCAAACCAATTCAGGCGACATTTGTCTTCGCATACCTGTCCTATAGTGGAAATCACAGCTACCCACAATATTTATTTATTTATATGTTTCACTTATACCCTGACTTCCCACTGGGGACCCAAAACATTGTTCTCTCCTCCATTTTATCCTCACAACAGCCCTACGAGGTAGGTTATGCGCAGAGTGTGCGACTGGCCCACGGTCAGCCAGCAACCTTCCATGGCACAGCCGGGATTCAAACCCAGGTCTCCCAGAAACTAATCTGACACTCTTAATCACCGGTCTGGCTTTCTATCCCAATATCTAAAGCTGAGATGGGTAAATTGTTCTGGGTCAGTTATATGAGGATGTAGCAGTTCGAAAGCAAGAAATTGCAAGTAGATAAATAGGTACTGCCTTGGTGGGAAGGTAACAGTGTTCCGTGCGCCTCATCATCTAGTCATGCCGGCCACATGCCCACAGAGAAGTCTTCGGACAGTGCTGGCTCTTCGGCTTGGAAACGGAGATGAGCACTGCCCCTTAGAGTCGGATTCGACTGGCTCTCGGGCAAGGGAAACCTTTACCTTTACTATGTGCCATGTAAAGTGCTGTCAAGTTGTGGTCAACGTATGGCGACTCTGTAAGGTTTTCAAGGCAAGAGAGGAACAGAGTTGGTTTTGTTGGATTATTGGTATTTAGCAGAGTGCTCAAGGCTTATAGTGCAGCAGAACCAACCTGGAGTGTGCTGGCCAGGAACAAAGTTATATGCAAAGCCTCTTATCTTTGCAAAATTAGTATGAGTCCTTTATTGAAGGAACTCCATTCTAGACAGGATAGAGACAGGGTTCTAATCTAGTCTAACTAGCTAGGATGGATGGAGATGCAGGAAGCACGTCCTGCTCCCATGGTGCCAGGATGAAGAAGGCTAGCATAGTGTGGAGAGAAAGTGTCAGAGCCAGAAGGAAGGAAGTTTCCCTAAGAGTAGCAATCTACATATCAAGGGGATAGTATCAGAGAGTAAAGGAAAGGATGGTCAGTGTCTTGGTCTCTCTATCTCTTTGGCTGTCTTATAAACCCCCTCTGAAGTCTGTGGCTAAGAGACAGCGCAAAGTCCTTCCCTTCCAACAGGTTTGCCTGCCTCTGTGGAACAACCCTGGGCTTCCTTGGTGGTCTCCCACCCAAATACTGACCAGGACTGTCCCTGCTTAGCTGACGAGGTCTGACAAGATCTAGCTAGCCCGGGCCATCCAAATAAGGGAATGTCCATGCCGTTTCCCAAATATTGTCCTGAAAATGGAAGTGGGGGCCAACGAGGAGGAGGCCGTGCGCCTCTTGCCCGCCTCGCAGGAGCAGCAGCCACTTTACTAGTAATTACGTATTTTAAAAGAACTATCAGAAGACTGCACGGGCGGGTCGACCCGCCTTGTTGCGTCTAGACAGGGCAGGCGTGCGTTGGGTGCATGCCCGACCCAGTTTGGAGCCCACGTGACCCTGGCTCGGAGGAAAGCCTCGCTGCTTTGGGAGAAGCGAAAGAGCTTCTGCCCGGCCATCTCGGAAATCCTGCCCCTGGAGGCGGTTCCGCCCAGCCTTTGGGACTTCAGCATACTTGGCCGGGGGTAGAAAAATGGGGGCCTCCTCCTCCTGTCCAACAAACTGCTGTCGACGCTGATACTCCAGCAGCTGAGCTTTGCAACCGGGGGCCCTTTTAGATGGAGACGCACAGAGGCCAGCTGTTACACCAGGGACCCTTGTGTGCGCAAAGCATGCAATCTGCGCCGAGGACCCTCCTCGATGACGCATGAAACAGCCTCAAGCCAAGTCCGACTTCGGCTCAGTACTGTCTCTGCAGGAGCTCTCCAGGGCTTCGGTAGGGAAACGTCTTTCCCAGGTACGCACAGATGAAGCCGCCTTTTGCTGAATCAGATCATCAAAGTCGGCATCGTCTACTCAGACTGGCAGCGGCTTTCCGGGAATCTCAGGTTGAGGTCTTCCGCCTACCGCTGGATCCTTTTAACTGGATGTAATGTACTCGCCATGACCACGTGCGCGACCGTTGGGCCATGCGGTCATGCAAAAGCCTGAAGCTTCACTCCGAGAGAACAATAGCCAAGCGGATCCTAGCCCGCACCTATCAGAGGGCCAGGTCCGCTGCCGAGAGCCTATGGGACTCTCGGCTACTGTAAATAGCCAGTAGGAAGTAGGGGGTGTGTTTTGGTGGTGAGTTTTCCAGTGCATATAAACCGGCCTGCGAGCCAGCTTACTTTGTCTTGTTCCTGCTTAATAAAAGTACTCTGCTGAAATCACTCCACGTTTCTGAGTACTTTTCACTGGAGATGCCAGGGATTGAACCTGGGACCTTCTGCATGCCGAGCCGATGCTCTGCCTCTGAGCCACGGCCCCTTTCCTGCTACTGTTCCTGCTACTTATGAATACATGAAGCTGCCTTGTACTGAATCGGACCCTTGGTCCATCGAGGTCAGCGTTGTCTACTCAGACTGGCAGCGGCTTTCCAGGGTCTCGGGTTGAGGTCTTTCCCATCACCTACTGCCTGGTCCTTTTTAACTGGAGATGCCGGGGATTGAACCTGGGACCTCCTGCATGCCAAGCAGATGCTCTTCCACCGAGCCACGGCTGCTCCCCAAACGCACCTGAAGCCACCTTCTACTGAATCAGACCACTGGTCCATCAAAGTCAGGATAATCTATTCAGACTGGCAGCGTCTTTCCAGGGTCTCGGGTTGAGGTCTTTCCCATCACCGACTGCCTGGTCCTTTTTAACTGGAGATGCCGGGGATTGAACCTGGGACCTCCTGCATGCCAAGCAGAGGCTCTTCCACTGTGCCACAGATGCTCCCCAATAGGTCCGCTAACAAAGCAGTTGAAAGCCGTCTGCTGCGTCCGAACTTTGAGTGATCTAGCTCAGTAGTGTCTGCTCTGATTGGCAGCAGCTCTCCAGGGTCTCAGGCAGAGCTCTTTCCCATCACCGACTGCCGGGTCCTTTTTAACTGGCAGTGGTGGGGATTGAACCTGGGACCTTCTGCACGCCGAGCGGACGCTTTACCCACTGAGCCACTTGAGAGCCTGTGGTTGGAGATGGCCCCTGGGACCTTCTGCACACAAAATATGTACTTGCAGCACAGGCTTTTCTGTGCCGGTGTGATGCAATCACATAGGCCGCTGGATTCAAGTCCCGTAGCACTTTAGAGACC